TTCAGATACCCATATTTTCACATCAATTTTGGCTTCATATGCTTCAAACTCACTAAAAATGCTCAATTTTCTCAAGCTGTATATCAAAGCCAAAGCTGCAATTTAGGTAACTAATTTGGTATCAGGTACTAAATGTGCAAAAATATTACTTTTCTATAAAAATCAGGCTTATTGTAGACTTATATGGAGAATAGCTGATCAAATAATGGAAAAGCATTATAATCAGGCATATTTCCAGAAATACAGTACATAAACAGTCTAAAACAACAACTCATGCATTTTGCTGATAAATTAAATTAAAGTTTCCTTCTTTCTTAGTGAATCCCTGCCTTAGCATTTTTATGCATCCTTTTGCCCTTTTTTGCAATGTATGTTTCATATCATCGTATGACTTCATTATAACAGTTTTAGGCATCATTTTCTCTTTCTTCCAGTAGCTCTGCTAGCAATCTGGTGTGAATGCTGAATCTGTGAATGTAAATAGGGTGAAATGATGGGATTATTTGCTACTGCCCTGGCAGACATTGACATGTACTGTATTATGCCATGCTGGTTTACCCGAAGAGGGATTTCTGGTGAAAAAAAATACAGCTTCTAGCACACAATAGTTGAGAAATAATTTCAGGGCTGTTAATATAATTTCTCAATGATGTGTTCATGTTTATGTGTTTATGCCCCTAAATGTGTTTGTTTGTTTGTTCGTTCGTTTGTTCATTCGTTCATTTGTTCGTTTGTTCGTTCGTTCGTTCAACCAAAATTGACAATTTGCTGAAAATGTATTCACCCTCAGGGCATCCAAGATGAGTTTGTTTCTTCATTGGAACAGATTTACATTGAATTACTTGCTCACCAGTGGGTGCTGTGCAGTGAATGGGTGCCGTCAGAATGAGAGAAACTGCTGATAAAAGCATCACAAAAATCCACAAGTAATCCACACCACTCCAGTCCATCAATTAATGTATTGAGGTGAAAAAGCTACATGTATGTTATAAAAAAAATCCCTAATTGAGGCTAACTTTAAACCGTTGCTTCTGGTCAAAATACGAGCCCATAATCTAATAGCACTTCCTCCAGTGAAAAAGTTCCTCCCGTTGTCCTTTCGCATCAAAATCCACTGACATACTGTATTTGTTTAGAACAGTCAAACGTTTTGGTGGTCAAAAAATAAATAAATAAAATACAATAAAATTATGAATTTGTTTATTATTCTGATGGCACCCATTCAAGTGAAGTAATGCTTAATTTCTCAGAATCTGGAGACAATTGTGAGTTAATTTTTCTGCAAATTTTCATTTTTGGGTGAACAATTCCTTTGATAATAATTAACATTCAGGATTTATAATGAAATATTCTGATTTTAACATGCAGTGTGACCCAAAAGTCTGAGACCATATTGAAAATAAGGGATTTGTTTATTTATTTATTTATTAACTTTTAACAGAAAGTTTTGGAAATTATGATGTAAGAAGAACGAGAAATTGTTATGATTCTTCACTGTTTTTAGATCACAAATCAAATAGGTAAATTTGTGATATTGATCATCTGAACTTTTTACGAATGGCCATATTGTTCTTCCCGTTGAAGCACAAGATTTTCTTTGGATCATCTCAAATCATGCTGCAAATCATGATCATCAGGTTTTACGTCTGAAGGTCAGGCAGTTTGATTACTGCTTTTATTAAAGTAAAAGGACAACAAATCAAAACTAAAATATTTTAAAATCATATCTCTTTAACGTTTCCATCAAGTTATGCTGATTATATAATTTTGAATTAATTTTTTGTATTAAATGAGGAAGAATGCAAAATAGAAGCATTTTCACTAGTGGTCTCGTGTGTTTGAACCCCACTGTAAATTATATATATATATATGTGTGTGTGTGTGTGTGTGTGTGTGTGTACACCCTAGCAACTTCTTAGGAACAGGTGTAAACACTCAGATCACCCAAGCAATTTTCCTCATTCAGGCAGTGATTCATTGTAACCGGCAATCTAAAAGTGTGTGCACGTGTTTACTTCTCATGTGACATGACACAGAGCTGGTGCATGCTGGTCTCAGAGCTGCACTACATGTACACTAATGATGTGTTTCACTGTTGTGCAGGCAGACGCTATGTCACACAATAATCGAGTGGGAGGGAGAGAGTGTCTGACTTCAATTTCCTTATCACCTTAATGAACCCTGACCCCTGCTGAGAGAGAGAGCACTGAGAACAGGCAGATAAGCCCAGAAGCTCAGTGATGGAGCACTTCAAGAGAGAAATGGCCAAAAGATTAGACAGAATTCACTTTATCTGTCTCCTCTACAGGAGACACATATTCACGCACACACATGCGTTACTGTCATGTAGTTCATTAATTTGTGCCATTCCGATTTTTATGGGTAGTCGACATTAAATACTTGATAAGTTGATGATGTCTTGCAGTGTGACAACTCTCTGAGACCTGATGTCACATCTGTTTTGTCTTTGCTCAGTTGTTGCAAATTGGCTTTTTTCATG